TATTATTATTATTATTATTATTATTGTCATTATTAATACTATTTATATCTTTTTTAAATACTTATCTTCATAAGTGTTTTTATTATATGACTAGTCTTAATATTTTTAATAATTATTGTTTTTATTATGTTTTTTTTTATTAAAATCTTATTTATTTTTTTAAATATTATCTTATTAAGAATTATAATTTTTATTATTATTATTTTTTTCTTAAATATCTTAATTGTTTCTATAGTTATTGTATTTATTTTTTATAAAACTATCATCTTCATTATAATCTTAATTCTTTTTATAATTGTTATCTTAATTTCCTTTTTAATTATAATTATCCTAATTATTTTATTAATTAGTATCTTTATTATATTTATTATTATTATCTTTCTAATATATATTATTTGTATTTTTATTATTATTATCAAATTAATTTATACTATTACAAATATTTTTATTATCTATCTTTTATTTATTATTTATTTTATCTTAATTATTTATATTATAATTATTATTTCTTTCATTATATTTATAATTTATATCTTAATTTCTTTTTTAATTATTAAAATCATTATTGTTTTTATAATTATTATTTAAATTATTTTTATTATTATTATTTTCATATTAATTATCATTTTTATTTTATTAATTTTCATATTCTTATTAATTATAATGTTTTTAAATTTTGTCTTTAATTTTTTTCTTTTTTAAAATTCTTATTTTATTAATCATTATTAAAAATTTTATTATTGCTTTTTTTTTCATTACTTTTATAAGAAATATCATTTGAATTTAATTTATAATAATTTTAATTTTATTACATGTGTAATTAATAATTATTATTTTTAAAAGAAGATTAATTAATTAAAATTTTTAATTAATCATTTGAATATTATTATTATTCTGATCCGCTATTGTTATTATGTTTTTCTGAAATTTCATTTTTTTTAATAATATAATAATCATATTTGTTAAATTCTTGATATTCAATTTTATTTTATTAAATATCTTTGTTCCTTTAATGAATAAATATATTATTTTATTATAAATTGATTTTTTAATTATCTTAATTATCTTTATGACTTTTTATAAAAAATAAATAAATACTAAGTTTGTATTTTATATACAAAACAAAAATAAATTTTTTATAATTATATATTTTATTACTGATGATTTTATAGATTAATGTTTTAAATAATGTTAGATTATTATATAACTATTTAAATAAAAAAATATAAATAATATATAAATATACAAATATATAAATATACTAAATATATAAATAAATATATAAATATATATATTTTTGTTTTAATATTTTTATAATTTTTAAAAAATATATATTTACCTTCTTCTTATTTATCATTACTTTCTTTTTAAAGTATTTATTGTATTGATGGGTTTTCTAATTCATCTTCAGGCATATATATATTACTTTATTATTAAATATTTTTGATTCGATCTTTATTAATGTTCAAAAGTAGAATTCCACCAACTTTTTGTTCTTAATCTTATTTTATTTGTTCATCATTTATTTCTTTTTATTTATTTTTAATTTATTAAATTAATTTTTTTTATATATTTATACGTTTTTTTTATTAATTATTTTCTGCAAATTCCCAATGATTTTTTACTTTACTTTGCTATTACTATTAATCGTTATTTTTTTATGTCATAGTCTCTTTTGTAGGTAAATATAATCTTTAATCTTCATTTTATTAATATTAAGTATTATTTTTAGTTCTTTCTTATGCTTTTTAAAAATATATTAATATTAATAAAAATATGTAAAAATAATATAAATATATAATTTTTTTTATTTTACTTTAGTTTTGGGGTTTGCTATTTTAGATAACTACTTTTTTGTGTTTATTATTAATTATATTTAAATTCATTTTTTTGAAATTATTTAATATATTAAATAGATATATATATTTATAAAAATATAGAATATTATTTTTTAAAAAAATTATTTTATATAATATATACAAATATATATATTATTATTTTTTTTAAGAGAAATTTATTTTAAAAATAAGAATAAAAAATAATAATAAAACAATTACGAAATAATTTTTTTTTTTTAATAAAAAATTTATTTTATTTTTAATATAAAATATACAAAATATAATAATAAAATACATATAAAAAATATATTAGAAAAAGAAAAAGAGAAAAATATTTGAAAATGCTTAAATTTATATAAAAATTTAAATTAAATTTTAAAAATTTAACATTTATCCATAACCAAGGTTTTTATTTGTTTAAATAAAATACTAATATTCTTATTTTTAATTTTTTTTAAAAAATAGCGTTTCACAAATCATCTTTTTAGAACAAATAGATTGAAATTTTCATTGATGGATAATCCGCTAAAGTAAAATAAATTAATAATTAGCAAAAAATTATAAATAAAATTTACAGGTTGATGATTCATACACAATATTCTAAGCTTGTTATGAAAACGGAGTAATAATTCCCCGTTTTTGTTATCATGAAAGGCGTAAAATTAAATTATAATTTATTTATTAAATATATGTATAGTTGCTGTTGCTGGAAACTGTAGAATGTGTTTAGTAGAAATCGAAAACGTACCAAAACCTGTAGCAGCTTGTGCTTCATAAGTCGTTCCAGGAATGAAGGTAAAGACCTCAAGTGAAAAGACTAGAATCCATAGAGGAAATGTAATGGAATTTTTATTAGCAAACCATCCTTTAGATTGTCCTATATGTGATTAAGGAGGAGAATGTGACTTATAAGATATTTCTGTAGTATATGGATATTAATAAGGACGTTATAGAGAGTATAAAAGATCTGTCGAAGATAAAAACTATGGTCCTTTAGTTGCTACATCTATGAATAGATGTATACATTGTACTCGTTGTATTAGATTTGCTACATAAGTAATTATATATATATATATTTTATATATATATATATATATATATATATATATAAATATATATATATTTATATATATAATATTTTTTAAAAAAGATATGTGGTGTAGATGATTTAGGAAAAACTGGAAGAGGTAAATTTTCTGAAATAGGTACTTATGTAGAAAAAACTTTCAATACAGAACTTTCTGGAAATGTAGTTGATATATGCCCTGTAGGTGCATTAACTAATGCTGTAAACTATTAATATATTTATAATTTATTTATTTATATAAAAAAATATAGCCTTATGCATTTACTTCTAGACCTTGGGAATTAAAAGGATATTATACAACAGATGTAATGGATACCATAGGAAGTGCTATATAAGTAGATACTAGAGGCCCTGAAATAATGAGAATATTACCGAGAATACACGAAGAAATTAATGATGAATGGATTTCCGATAAAACAAGACATGCATTTGATGGATTAAAAAAATAAAGACTAAGAAGCCCTATGTAAAGAAGTTAAGAAGGGACTTATACTGAAATGTTATGGGAAGATGCAATGAGGATTATTGCAGAGAAATTATAGGGGGTTAGTGGATAAGAAATTGGTGCTATTATTGGAGAATTTTCTGATATAGAAACTATTACTGCTTTAAAAGATTTCTTAAATAGACTAGATTGTGAAAATTTTGAGATTAGAGGACATGTAAATATATATATAATAATATATATATATATAAAATTTATATTGTAGGATAATTTAAAATTAAGTGCAGATTTTAGAGCCAATTATTTGTTTAATAGTCGCATTTTAGGTATTGAAGAATGCGATTTATTACTCTTAATAGGAACAAACCCTCGTTATGAAAGTCCTGTTTTAAACTCTCGTATATTAAAATAGACTAAGAATAATTTAAAGGTATTTAATATTGGAACATCTCAAGATTTAATGTATAAAACAATACATTTAGGCAATTCTACTAAAGTTTTAAATGAAATTTTGGAAGGAAAGCATCCTTTTTGTGAAAGGCTTAAAAAGGCGAAATTGCCAATGATTTTATGCGGTGCAAATTTATTTGAAAGGGAAGATGGCAAAGAAATAATGGAAAATTTGAAGGTTATAGCTAATAATTATGGTGTAATTTCTGAAGAAAATAAATGGAACGGCTTCAATATTTTACATAAGGAATGTGGAAAAATCAATGCCTTAGAATTGGGAATATCAACCTCTGAAATCTCACCAAAAAAACCAAAAGTTGTCTTCTTACTAGGAGCTGATAATAATATAAAAATAGAAGATATCCCTGAAGATTCTTTTGTAGTTTATTTAGGTACTCATGGGGATGAAGGGGCTTATTTTGCAGATATAATACTTCCAACAGCAACATATACAGAGAAAAATGCAACTTGGGTAAATACTGAGGGTAGAGTTTAATAAGGAAGACTAGTAGTAATGAGCCCAGGAGATGCAAGGGAAGATTGGATGGTTATTAGAGCTCTTTCAGAAGAATGTGGAGTACCTTTACCATATGATACTTTAGAAGAAGTTTTAATTATATAAATATAATTATATATAAATATTTATTTAGTTAAGATATAGAGTTGCAGAATTAGCTCCACATTTATTAAAATATGATTTTATAGAACCTACTTCTTTTGGTAAATTAGCACTTTAACCATAAAAGGGATAAAATGCATAGACTTTAAATGTTAATCCTATTACTGATTATATTGATGTAAATTTATATATATATATATATATATATATATATATATATATATATATATATATATATATATATATATTTATATATTTATTTATATATATATATACATTTTTTTTTAAGAATTTCTATATGACTGATGCTATTTCTAGAGCTTCTGTTACAATGGCTAAATGCTCTACAGCTTTTAATCATGAGAAATTTGATAATTTTAAAAATTTAAGCAAATAATGAATTTTTATTTTTTTTATATTTTTTTTAAATTTTTTTTATTTTTTTTATTAAATGAAAATACAATAAAAAAAATAATAGTAATATTTTTAAATTATTTCTATTAATATTTTTTTTCTAATTATTTTATTATTTTAATTTAAAATAATCAATAAATATTTTTAATACTTACTTAATAAAACAAAATAAAATTTAAATATAATAATTTAAAAATTAAAATAACAAAAAATTAAAGAAAAATATGTTACATCGTAATCATTCAATACCAAACCTTGAAGTATAATAAGTTATTCCACTTTAATAAACTCCTTAATCAGTCTCAAACTAATAAATGTTTCAGAAATAACAATTTTAAATATAAACAAGATAATCCTAATAGTTTTTTTAATTAAAGAATTCTTTATAATTAGTACCTTAAAAAAATATCACATAAAATATAGTTTAAAAATCTCCCCCAAAAGTAAGAATTAAATAAATAAATTAAAAGGTAATTTATACTCCTCCTAGAATGCTTTCACCTTATAAAATTTAAAATGATCAAAAAGTGAATCTATAAATTTAAAAAAGTTAGTAATTTTCTCCATTAAATGTTCTCTAAAAACATTAAGATAAGAATATTTCTACTTAAAAAATTATCAACTAAAATGATATATTTGTAGAAAATAAATAAATTCAAGTGGCTGCTGTTATTAAGTAATAAGTACCTGTTTATATTATTTAGTAGTAACATTAACCCGTATAAGTTCATGAGAAAATCATTGAAAAATATGTCGATAATTAATCTGAAGTTGATATATTAAAATAGAGGATATTTTAATTAGAAAACCAATTAAAAATTAATAAAATTAGTATGAGAAAATAATCTATGTGGAAAATAATGAAAAAATATAAATGTTAGAATAATAAATAAAAGACGAAGCTTTAAAAAGAAAATAATATGAAGATTAAATGATATTTATTAAAGACGAAAATAACAATAACAATAATAATAATAATAATAATACATATGTTTTTGAATTATAAAATAAGGTTAATTTATTAACAAATGAACTTTAAAATTTAAATGTTTCTTATTAGTATAAATTATATATTTATTTATTTATTTGTTTATTTATATATAAAGATAATTTCATGATTAATACGAAAACGAATTGAAATAATTTCGTGAAATAATACATAATTAAAAATTAGAATTACAAGATTAGAAAAATCAATATTATAATCTAGAATAAAAAACAAGTTAATATGAAAATAAAATAGCTTTACTTATGAGAGAGTTAGAATGTTCATAATATTAAGTTTAATAAAAAAATGAATAATTTTAATAGTCTGATTTATACAATTAAGAAAACGATCTTTTGAAAAAACGAAATAAAGACTTGGAAGGTAAAATATTCGAGTTTTCTAATAATATTGAAAAGTTAAATATTATTTTGAATAAAAAAGTTGACGAAAATCGATTAAATGAATAATAAAAATAAACTTTATAGGAAGAATTGAGAGGTCTTAGTGATGTTTTATAATTTAAAGATAAATAATTATAATAACTGTAATCTAAAATATAAGAAAATGAAGTTTTTTTATAAAAATTTATACTTTACGAGAATAAACTTTAAGAATGTGAATAAAATAATAGGGATATGAGATAAAAAATCGAATAACTTTTATTATAAATAAACCAATATGAAATTAAAATAGAGTCAATAAGTTCTTAGTTGGAATTTTCATAAAGAAAAATAAACGAAAGAGAATAAGAAAATATTTTTTTAAATAAAAAAATAAATGACTATGAAAATTAAATAATTCCATAAATTTAGATGGAAAATGAAATCTTAAAAAATAAAATTTATGAATTCGAGAATATTATTAATGAAAAAAAAGTTAAAAAACATAAAAAAATTAACAACTTTAAAACCAAATTTAAGAACTTTAAAAAAATATAGAAAATTATAATACTTAATTAAATTTAAATAAGTAATAAAATAATTAATTAGAAACTTTAGTAGTTAATTTGCAAAATTAAAATAAATAAAAAGATTAACATATTTAAATTCTAAATAATGATTTTTAAAATCTATAATAGAGCTTAAAGTTATTTAAAGACTAAAATACTTAAATATAATAAGAATTATAAGAATCTAAACAACACTAACCCAAGCTAATTGAATGTGAGTAAAATAACATTTAATTAAGGAAAAAAATAGAAGAATTATTATACAAAATAGATAATATAGTCTAAGAAAATCAAGAAAAATAAACCAAAATAAACGAATTAATGGTCCATTTATAAAATTACTAACCTTTAGAGGAATAATTACGTTATATTAAGGGATAATTAGACTAATAAATTAGAAAAAATAATTAAAATGAAGATAAAATATAAAATTTAATTTAAAGAAATCAAGAAAACGAGTAAAAAATTGATTATTAAGAATCTTAAATTTCACATTAGAATTATTTAAAATAAAATATGGAAAATATTTAATAAAATTTATTAAAAAAAGTCGAAGAAAACTAAATTTTATAATAGAAAATTTAAGAAATTTTATAAAAAAATACAGATAATTAAAATTTAATTTAAAACTTAAAAAATAACGAAAATCAATTCAGAGGAAAAATCGATGAATTAATCTTGTAATTAAATGAGCAAAATAATGAAGGAGTCAAAAAATCCATGAAAATAAACGAACTTTAAATCTAAATGAAAGAATATGAAAACATTTAGAACCAATATTAAATTCTTATCAAAAAAAATTCAGATAAAGAGACTGAATTAAATAATTTAAGGCAATAAATGTTCTAAATTTTATCTATTAATTCACAAATACCATCTTTGGAAGGCAAAATATAATCACTTAATTCATAAATAGAACATCTATAGAAGGCTTTAGGGGAAAAAGAGCAGGAAAATAGAAACTTAGATTCGAAATTGATAATTTATATGCAATATGAGTCTAAATTAGAAGAATGTGAACGCAATAATAAAGAATTGAGGATTAAATTAAAAGAATTAGTTTGCTAATTAAATGAAACTTAAGAAGATAATGCAAAAAAGAACAAAATTTAATAAGAAAATGAGCAAAAAATTCGTTAATTATTAAAATATGAATAATAAGTGATAATATTGAGTGAGAATATGTAAAAATATTAGAGAAAAATAGAAGAATAAAGCCAAGAAATATCTAATTTAAATTAATATTTAAATGAAATGGAAAACATAAAAGATTTAATAGAAATAAGAAATCGAGAAATAGAATAATGGCAATAAAAATATGTAAATTTAGAAGATTAGAAAGTAAAAGAATTCGAAATAAGAATAAGTGAAAAAAACATTATTATAAATAGACTTGATGATTAATTAAAATAAAATAAAGAATATTTTTTTATAAAAGAATAGGAAATTAATAATTTAAAAAAAAAAATAGAATCTATAGAAAATTTAAATTTGAATAATATAAATATGAATTAAGAAAAAAATTAACTTTTAAATAATAAAAATTAATTACTTTTAAAAATTAATGAATACGAGATTTCTTTGAAAAATTATCCTGTTTTATAAGCTTAAAATTAAGAACTTTTAATTAAAATTGTAATTTTAGGTGCACTTGTTGAATGTTTGAGAAATACAATGCATAACAATTAATATCAAGTAAATTCGATATTAAGAAGTGGAATAGAAATTCGTAAAAATAGTTTAGCGGCAAAAGATTTTTCTAAGAATAAAAATTATTCTGAAAGTGCAATTAATTTATAAAAAATATAGAAATATAATAATAATTAAGAAAATTTTCTAGAAAATGAAAATGTTAAAAAGAATAAGAAATAAAATATTATTTAATCAAATTTTTAAAATAAAAATAATCTAGTTGATAATGTAGACGCTGTACTATAAAAATCAAGAGAATTAAGATATTCATAATAATATTAATTTGTCGGAAATAGTAATTAAGCTTAAAATTATTAAAATTTAAATGAAAAAAACAAAATATTAAATTAAAATTATTAGGCTTAAAATAAAAATAATAAAATTTTTAATTAAGATTAAGGTAATAATTAGAATAGATAAATTGTTAGTTCAATAAGTAATAATAATAATATTAATATAAATAATAATAATAATAATAATAATAATAATAATAATAATAATATTACATAATCTAATAATTATAATATTAGTTAAGGAGTTAATCAAGTTACTTATTCAATTACAACTTCTTAATTTAGATGAATAATTTTCTATTATAAAATATTTATATTATTATAATATAATATATAAATTATATATTTCCATCAATATATTTTATTAATATATTATAATTATATTAATATATTTTATTTACAAATATATATTTATATTTTCAAACTAAAATAAATATGCAATTTATAAAAGAAACTATAAAAAAAAAAATATCCGCTTCCTAAAAATAATTTAAACTCTAATTAATTATCTTATCCTATACATTTACCAACCCAAGGACAATGATGATCATATCCCCTAATGCAAACTTCACAATCATAACAATGATATGTTCCTATATCAATATTAATATTACATATAGAACAAATACTTTAAAATAATTAATTTTATAATAAAAATACAAATATAATAAAATATTTATAAACCCAAATTAGTTTTCATCTATTTTTTAATCTAATGATGTTTTAAATGCTATTCCTGGATTTTTTAAAGATACAAGTGAGTATATTATAAGTAAAAATATAGTAATTATATATTATATAATATATAATATAATATTTTCTTTTAAAAATATTTCGCATATTAATATTCCAATCATTAATATAAATAAAAATAAAAATATAAAAAAAAACCCTTTATTTAACATATATATATATAAATACATTTAATTTTTTTTTTATATTTACAATGTGGTCCTATAGTAAAATATGGCTTACCTTTTATCCAAAAAAAAGGATAATTTTTTCCAAAATAAGGTTTAAATAATAATTGAGTTTATAAATATAAACTATTTTATGAATTTATAATTTTTTTATTATTATTTTTTTGAATTTATTATTAAGATATTCTATTTTCATCTAATTGTATGTATTATATTATATTTTCTTACTATGGAAAGCTTTTTACTTTCTCTATTTATTAAACTAATTCTTGTTACATTTTTTTAATATTATTAGTATTATTTTTATAAAAAAAAATCATATATATATATATATATATATATATATATATATTTATATTTTTTTATTATTAAATTAAATTTATATATTATTCATAAAAAAAAATTTTAAGTTTTAATTAATTAATATAATTATAATTGTATAAAAATTATTATTTTTTTTAAGAAATTATTATTATATAAATAATTTTTTTAAAATGATATTTATATATAAAATAATTATATTTTATAATTATATATTTTTATATTTTATAATTTAAATTTTTAATAATTAAGATTTATTATTAACTCATTATTTTTTTCTTTAATATTAAAAAAAAAATTAAAATTTTTTTTTGCTTTAAAAAAATACTAATAATTAGTATATAAATATAATTTAAGAAAATTATATAATAAATGTAATTAATTATTTATGAAAAAAAATATTAATATAATAATATAATAAGAAATAATTAAATATATTCGCCAGAAAATATATATATATAAATTATAAATTTTACTTTTTATATTTTATATTTTTAAAAAAAATAATAAAGCAAAAAAATATTTTTTAAAAAAATATAAAAGAAACATTAATATAAATAAACACAAAATATAATTATATGAATTAAAACAACAGAATTAATTTTGATTAAAATCCTTACTAAGGAATGCAAAAAATTAATGGTTTAAACAATTAAAAGCAATTCATGTAAAATCCTCAAAACTAATACAACATTATGTATTAATAATAATAAAATCCACCAAGATAATAAATGTAATAATAATAAAATTAACCACAAAAATAATAAATATAATAATAATAATAATAATAATAATAATAATAATAATAATAATAATAATAATAAAAATAATAATAAATATAATAATAATAGTAATAGCCATAATTATAACAACAATAATAATTACAATAATAAAAGTAAAAGCCATAGTAATAGTAATAATAAAAATAATAATAATTTTAATCTAATTAATAGTAATATTTATATATATAATTAAAAATATTTTTTATTCGCAAAAATATATAGAAAGTCTAAAGATGATAAAATTAATAATAAAAAAATATTATAAAGATAAACCAGCTGATTTTACATATCTTAAATAATATGGTTATAATATTTATAAAGAATTAGGTAGGGGAGGATATGGTGTAGTTTATAAAGCTTCTGAATGGTAAATATGATATAATATAAATAATGAATTTATTTTAAATTAGGAAAGATGGAAAAGAAAATAAATAAAAAAATATGCTATTAAAATAAACTTTCAAACAGTTTCACCAGAATTAATATATTCGGAAATCGCTTTCTTAACATTATTAAGAGGACTTCCAAGTACTTCTGAAATGTGTAATCTTTTTACTTATGAAGATAAAACTCATATTGTTATTTAATATTTTAAATACAAACCTTTTATTGTAATATATAAATATAAGATATATAAATATATAAATATATAAATATATATATATATAATATTTATATAAATATATATATATTTACATAAAAATATAAAAATAAATATATAATAAAAATTTGTATTTATACATTTATTTTAATATACAAATTATTATAAAAAATATATTTGAATTTAATACATAAATAAATATTAAAATTTAAACATAATTTATTTTTTTTAAGTAATTTTTTGCTGATTTTAAAATGGAAGATATAAAACATTATATTTATCAAATGCTTTTAGGTGTAAAAACTTTAAAAAGTATAGGAATATACCATAGAGATGTTAAACCAGGAAATTTCTTATATAATCCAAAAACAAGAAAAGGAATTTTAATAGATTACGGATTATCTGAAACAGTTAATATTATAAATATATATATATATAAATAAGTATATTTTATTTTATATATATATATAAATATAAATATATATATTTATATATATTTTTTAAATTAAAAATTTAATTATTTAAAAAAAATAAGGATGACAATTATATAGAATAATTAAAAAAAGAATATTAAAGAGATAAAAGAGTCGAAATTTAAAAATAATTAGAATTGTATAATAATATAAAAAAATGTGAAAGAATAGTAGGTAGAAATAAAATAGGTAATATTTAGTATTATATTAAAATTATATATATATATTTATATATATATATATATATATATATATATATATATATATATATATATTCATATATATTAATATTTATTATTAGGTACTGAATCATTTATGCCTTTAGAATCTATTTTAAGATATAAAGATTAAGGATATTCAGTTGATATATGGCCTATAGGTGTTGTATTTTTATAGTTTTTATTAAAAAATATAACATTTTTAATAATGTGAGAATGTAAAATAAACCTAATTAACATAAAAATAATAACAACAAATCAGGATAAATAAAAAATACATATTTTATAACTTTTATAATTGAATTAGCTAATATTTTTGGTACATAGGCTGTTATAAATATATGTAGAAAATATGGTAAATTTATATGAATATTAATTTATAAATTTTAATATAATTTTTTTTTATATTAAGATTATGATGTTACATTACCATAAGAATTACCTAAAGAGGGAATAAATTTTAAAGAAAAGATTTAAATGTAAAAATTTATATTTTAAAATGTAATATATAATATATTTAAAAGGGAAGATTTTGATGATGTAGCAGAAGATCTTCTAAAAAAATTAATTGCTTTAGATTAAACTGAAAGAATATCAGTAGAAGAAGCATTATAACATCCTTTTTTTAATTCTTTAAAGGAAATGGAAAGATAATGTTATATATAACAATAATAATAATTATAATAATAATAATAATAATAATAATAATAATATTAATAGCCATAATATTTATAATAATAATTTAATTAGTAACAATAATATCAATAATAACAATTTCATTATATGTGAATGAAAATGGATTAAAGAATATATATTAATATATATTTATTGCTATTATTTTTTTTATTTTTGGTTTTATATAATTTAAGAATAAAAAATATAATACTTTTTATTTTTTGAGTGTTTATTTATTTTTTATATTATATATTATAAAATAAAAAATGTAAAATTTTTTTTTGAAATATTTTAATTAAAGAACTAAATATTTTTTTTAAAAAACTTTTCTTAATTATAATTCTAATAAAAGTATTTTTTTGCAAAAATAAGTGATAAAATCATTTTCGAATAAGAAAAATAAAACAATTTTTAAAAATCTTCATATAATTTAAAAGAATAATAATAAAAAAATTTAGAAGAAAAATAAATTTAAACCGAATAAGAAGAATTTACAGATTTTAAACATGATCCTGAAAGTACAAAAATTATAGAAAAAGTCTTGAATGGAGAAATAGAGTTTAATGAAGGTGATACTATAGATAAATTAGTTAGTTTAGATGATGTTTTTAAAGTCAAAGAGTAGAGATTATCATTTTAATTAATGGATAGTAAAAGTATTTAGGGTATTTTTGATTTATATTAATTAGAAGAGAAAAAAGAATTATTAACAGTAGATGAAAATTACCTTTTTTTTCATTTTTTAGTAAAATAAAACTAAAATCTAAGCTAAAATGAGATGTTTTAGAAAATATTGGATAATATATTAAATAATTTAAAAGATCTAAATAAAAGTACTATTCGAAATTTCGTATGGGATTTAAGTTCTTATATGTAAGAATTTGGAAATATTAAAATTGAAAAGAAATAAGAATTGGCTTAAATTATAAATTAAAATTAATAAACAATATTAAATATAGGTATTTTATTTAGAAAAAAAATAAATATATATTTTAGATTTAATAATTAATATTTTAATACTAAAATATATTCTATAATTTTATTTTATTTTTATCTTTTTATAAATATAGAAAATACAATGTATCCTGCTCTGTTTTTCTCCTTTTTTTAGATTTTCAAAGATTAAGATTATGAATTGATTAATATTTTTATTTAAAATTTTTTAGATAAATGTATTTAAGAATTAGATTATATTAATATTAATGAATTACTTTGTATTTTCTTTATAATTTGCTAAAATTAAGTATTTATATAAACTCAAAAGCATATTTACTTAAGATTTTTAGAATAAATAGATTAAAATATAATGGTAATTAAATATATATATATTACTTATTAACATTTTTTATTTTATTTTTACTAAAATATTTTTAAAACTATATTTGTATTCGATATAAAATAAAATTATAGTATTGTTTTTTATCATTTAATATTTTTTATTTGAATTAATTTTCTTAAAAAATATTATTGAAAAATATATAAAATTTATATTTTTAATGTTATATATGCACATATATTTATATAAATTAATTTTATGTATTTATTGTTTAAATAAATAAATAATATAGAATTTAACAGAATAATAATTACATTAATTATTAAAAGTTTGTTAAGAAAATTAATTTCCTATATAAAATATCGAAGAAGAACTAAAAATGCGAGAAACAACTATAAATATAGCTTGTGATTAATTAATTTTTACTTAAGGAAAAGAATAAGATGAACTTCTTAAAATAATTTCGTAAAAATTCAATTAAATTTCTAGTTAAAATTTTATTAGTTTAATACTTGCATTAGCCAAACTTAAAATAAATATTGAAAAAGAAATCTATAAAAATGTTTTTTCATACGAATTAAATAATGAAGAATTATAATATCAAGATTTAATTAGTATTAGTGCCGCATTAGTTATTTTTAGAATGAATTTTAAAGATTAAATTGATATTAAATTTAGAAATGAATACTTTATTTTTATTTCTAATTTAAAAAAAATTCATAGAAACATAAAAAAACCTTTTGATTAAAAATAAGAAAAAACATTAAATTAATTAATTTAAAAACTATGATTTGAAAAAAAAAAAACTATTAAACTTGAATAAATAAAAAAAGATTAAAACTAATTTAAAATAAACTTTTTTTTACAATAAAATCATAACTAAACCTAAATTTTTTTATATATATAAAAAATAAAATAAAAAAAACAAATTTCACAGACTTTTTTTTTTTAAAAAAAAAATATCTAAAAAAAATAGGGCTCACTTAAACTAATTAAGCAATTCATTATATAATTATTTAGTTGGTATAAAATCAAAAGGCTAAGCATCTGCGTAACTTTATTTCAAACACTTTTCACATAAATCGAAATCACATTATTAACATCTCCACCTTAAATATCCTTTAGATTATCCAAAACCACTAATTCCACTTAAGCATCCCCCTACAAAAGCCTTCGAACCATCACAAAACCATCCATTATCAGAAAAATTTCTAATTAAAAGATGTTTATGTATATTGGATGTAACTTAATATAGTTGACTAAGTTAAGGATTTTCATTATAAAAAAATATACATTTGTAACAAATATTAAAGCCGCATTCTATACATGTATACTTACCTGAACTTTTCGATATTTAATTTTAATTTTGCTAATTATTTTTGTTAGCGCATCCTAAATAACGAGTCGAATCACACACCCAGCCAGTTTATAGTTCATAATTTCTTATTAAAGAGTGTTATGGGTGTAAATTAGACTCCATTTTTTCGGGCAAAATGGCTATTTCTTGCAAATCGTCTACACAATAGGAACATATAAAAAATGAATTGCAGTTTTATTCACATTTATATTGGGTTATTTTAGAGTCTGCTATTATCTAGGTAAATGAATCAGTGCCTTTGCAGCCTTATGGGTTATATGTCTTTCCAATACATTTCCATGGAATAAATTTATTTAGTGTAGATTCTTGAATATTGTGGGGATGGATAGTTAACTTAATTGATATTTTATCCATTTAATTTTATATAAATTATTTAAAAAATTAATTTATTTTAATTATTATATATTATTTCTTATTTTTAAAACATGATCTTATTTCAATAAAAATAAAAATTAAAAATAGTTTATATAATTTAAAAATATAATTAATATTATATATAAATATATTGAAATTTATATATTTACATATTATATATTTATATATTTATTTATTTTATATATATTTAATACTTATTTACAAATTTTTTTATATATATATATTTTTAAAAATTTATATAATTTCATTTTTTTCTATAAAATAATTTAATTAAATTTTCTAAATATCAATATAATTTTTAAAAACTTTAAAAACAACTAATAAACATAAGTAAACAAAGTAAAAATATATGATATTTTTTTTTTTTATAAATTTCATTAATACATTAGTTCTTATTTTATATTAATATATTATTTTAAATAATAAGTTTAATTATCTTTTATGATAATAAAAAAATATAGATTTAATTTAAAGAAAGATTTTTTATTTGTCTTTTGTCTTTATCTTTTATTAAAATTTAAAATATTATAATATAAATATTAATTAAATTAAAAAAAAAACTATTATAATAAAATCGAATATGTAATTATAAAAAAATATATATTTATAAAAAAAATAATAAATAATAATTTTAAAATTATTAGTATATATATTAAAATATATTTATTTAGTTATTATTGTATATATAATATTATATATAAACCTTTTATATTTTTTATTTATTAACTAATAAAATTTAAAAACAATATTTAAATAATAATTATTTATTCTCAATTTTTATTTAATAAAAAAATAATATAAATATATAAAAATAATAATGATTAAATCACAAAAATAAATATTTATAAATATTTATATGTAATTATTTTAAATATAATATATTTAGAAATTAGTTCATCTGCATCATTTTTTTTATCCTATATTTATATTTATAATTATAATTACTTTCTATTTTTTATATTTCTAAACATCGAAATAAAAAGATTTTCTATATAATTTTTAATTTTGTATATTTATCATATTAATACATTGAATAACTTACATAGTTTTCTTTTTAATTTTTTATAAAATCAATTAAAAGTTTTAAATAAATATATTAATAATGAATTCCTTAAAAAGTAATTTATAAAAATTAATTAAATAACAATTAATTCTTAAAATAAGTATATTTTAAGATTATTTTTTAACCATATAGGAATTTATTTATTATTTAATAATTACCTTTTCAATATTAATTAAATTAAATGAATTATTCTTTTAAATAATGCATCATATTTAAGTAGAAAAAATATAATGTTTAAAGAAAGTTTATTAACATAAAATAAACTATAATTAATAAATTTTTGTAATTTAGTATTGTGCTTTATTTAATAAGTCTGTGTAAAATATATAAATAATAATTGCACAATAGATATAACAAAATGTTGTAAAAACAAATTTAATAATACCCGAAACAAAAAAAAAGTTTACTATTTTACTTCAGTTCCAATTAAAAAAAATACTTATTAGACAATTATCTAATTTTCTCTGCTTTTTTTTAATGTTGTTGTATAAATTTAAAAAAAAAATTATATAAAATTAATATATAATATTTCATATTTATCATTAGAATATTATTATATTTTATATTATTTATATTATTCTATATAAATTATATTATATATATATATTTTAATATATTTTATATATATTGAACAAATATATAATTCAATATTTTATAATTTAAATATCATAACTTTAATAATTTCCTTCGCTTTCATGATTCTAAAAAGACTGTATAAATAGCATTTAACTAACTTCTTATACAAAAAAACATCCAGTGCTTTCAAATGGAATTTCCACATATTATTTTAATTTACAACTTCCTTTTTAATCTTTATAAAATAAAAAAATATTTTCATTTTGCTCTTTTTTCATTAATAAAAAATCGCCTATTTTAAAAAAGCTTTCAATTATTTATTAATTTTCCATATTTCCTATATATTCCAAAACAGGCATTTTCCAAATTTTTAACTACTTATCTGATGAAGTAGTAATAACATAATTTGAATTTTCCAAAACTTAAATTTCCTATATTTTTTCATTATGAGCTTTTTATATAGGATAAATTGAAGTACCTGAAATAAGTTCTTTAGCATATAAATTGCCAACTTTATCTCCAAAAATTAAATATTCGTATTATCCATCATTCATAATATTAAAAGAACTAATATAAAATCCCTCTGTATTTGCAACTTATATTATTTAATCCGAAATAACATCTAATAAATAGATTCTACTTCCAGAACCTATTAATACAAGTTAACTGTTTTAATGCAAAGATAATATTTAGTTACAATTTGTATGTTTAGAAGGCAAAACAATACTTTTTAAAAGTTTTAAGTTTTCTTTATATATTTATTTTTTTAAATATATATATATATATATATATATATATATATATATATATGTATATCTATTTTTATTTTTATTTTTATTTTTATTTTTATTTTTATTAATATTTTTAAATTTGTTTTTTTTATCTATATATTTATATTTTTTTATTACTCGGATTTATTACATTTATTGTATTATTTGTTAATAATCCTACTAGTATTTTTTATTCTTTGATATATATAACTTTTAACCATAAAAGAGAATATTAAGCTCTTAAGGTTTTTATGCATTATTTTTTATTTATGTCCCATATTTTTATATATCCATCATATGAAGCTGTATGTAATAAATTATTATAAATTTATATTATGGATGAAATTTTATTATTATGAGCTTTTTCAATTATGTATTTTTTTGAAATACTTTTTTATGAAAAATAATCAAATATCTTATTTAAATTTTCTATCTTTATTTTATTTGAAGTTCTTTAAGAATTGTATGTATAATTTGTATATTTTAATATACTTTCTATTTGTTTTTAGATATTTTCTTCATGTATTGCTTTTTATAAACTATTTAAAAACTAAAGAAAATCATTATAATTACTATTGTTTTCTTAATATTTTTGTAGAATTATTTTATTCTTTAATTAATTTATGTAATTGTAGTTGTTTTTTACATATTTTTCAATGCATTTTAAAAATTATTCAACTCCTAAAAATTTGTGGCTAATATGATTTTCTTAGAAACAATATATACAAATTAAACCTTTTTAAGGACAATCTTTTTATACACATACTATTGTTTTTTAAGCATTATAGTGAAACTAATTACATGTTGGATATTATATATTATTTAATTAAATCATATATATTTTAAAAATTCTTATATATACTGTTTAATATTTATTATATTTTTTTTTTATTTTTATTTTTTAAAAATAAAATAAAATATTATTATATTTTTAACGATTTTATCTTTTTTATAATATATATTTTAATTAATTATTTTTTTAATCATACTAATTAATCTATTGTTTAAAAATATGAACCCTCACTTTCATATTAAATATCTTTTTTTTTTAAATAATAATTTTTAAATTGTATTTTAAAAATATGAAAATACCAATTGGTAAAAACCATAAAAATGCATTTTTTCCAAAAACAGATAAAAAGTTTTATTTAAATCCCATATCATATTCCTTTTTTATTTTTTTATTAATTAATCATATTTTTTTTTTAAATAAATACATTTTAATCCTTCTTTTTTTCGCTTTATTCTATTGTAGTTTTATTATTTACAATTAATCTTATTTAATTAATACATTAAAAATTAGAAAAATATAAAATAATTATTTACATAATGTGAAACACAATTAAAAATCCCACAATAACTAAGGCTAAATTAATAAAGTAAAAAGTCAAAGAAATTAAATAAAGTTCCAAATAGTTTAATTCAAAACTAACAAATGAATCAAGATAACAATTTAAATAATTAGCAAACATAAATACTAATGTTAAAGCTAAAAAAAAATTAAAAATTAAAAAATAAAAATTAAAGATTAAAAATTAAAGATTAAAATTAATAAAAATTAATAAAAAAAAATATATTAAAAATATATGTATATATAAATTAGAAGAAATACAAACTCGCATAAAATAGCATACAAAAGAAATGTTTATAATTATAAAAGCCGATACAATTATCAACCCATTAACAATGATGATCCATTTTCAAAACGCAAGCTTTACATTATGAACAATGATGTGTTCTTGGAGGTTTAATAATACTTTATTTTTTTAAAAAAAATATAAATATTTTATAGTACATATATTTTTTTACTTAATACACTTTTTACATTAACGATATTATCTTGCTTAAATTTCTTATTAAATATGCATATTATATAATTAATCTAAAAGTCTTTAAAATTCTTCTTAATCATAAATATCATGTTCTTACTATTATATTTATAAAGAACTTTGATTTTCTTTTTATAAAAGGTATTTATTATCTTATATATCTTCATAATAAACTTCACTTTCGCTTCTATCACTTTAACTTTGAATTTTTATTAAGACTTTTTTAATAAATATTAGTTAAAAAACTAATTTATATTATTATGTTTACTTGCTCTTTTTATGTACTTTATATAATTATTTGATTATTTTTTTCTTAAGAAGGTGTTTTTTCAAGAGGACTAAATAATTCTGATGAAATCACTTCTTGATTATTTACTTCTTCAGTAAAAAAATTATTGTTTTTGTTTATTGATTAATTATCTTGTTATATGTAATTATTTACAAAATCTAATATTTTTTTTTTAAAAAATAAAATAAAATTTTATTTATGTATGATTGTAAATATTTACATTACATTTTTGATTTTATATATAAGAAAGCCTATATTTTTCTTTAATTGAATTATATATTTAGAATTATTGTTATTTTAAAATTTGCATAAAATCACCAATTTAAGAATTCCATATTTTACACTAAAAGTAAAATATAAAATAATAAGATTATATAATAATTTATATATACTAAAAATAATATTATACGTCTTTCATTCCTCCTGGATTTGTTGTTGAAACTTTAATCATAGACCAACCCAATAATAATCCAAATATATGCAAAATAATAAAAATCATAATTCCTTTTTCCTTGTCGTTTTTTGCTTGAAGGAAATTATAAAACTTGAATTAATATTGTTAAAAAATTTAATATAATTTATTTTATTATTCTATTTTTTCAAAATAGTCTTGCAATTTATATTAATTTCTCATAAGTGGAAACATATAAGTCTTTTTTTTTTAATTAATTAAATATTTTTTGACTATTAAAAATAAAGTTAATTAATATTTACAAATGAAAAACCAATATAAATAAAAGAAATTATTAAAAATAATATTATTTAAGGTAGTTTTGAGCATGCCTTATAATAAAATGAATTATTTATGATTTCTTAATTTAAAGATTGTCCTTTTATTTAATCCATTAATATATTTATTTATTAGGCTTATAATATTATATATAAATTTTTATTTTTTAAAAAAAATTAAAAATAGCTAATAAATAAAATTCTATAAATAATTTTTTTATAATTTTTAATTTTATTTATTATATTTTTGTTAACGTTTTTAAAATAATCATATAAATTATTTATATAATCGAAATTTAATCAAAAAGTTAAATATTTATATACGTTTTCAAAAAGTAATAAATTGAATAAAAAAAAAAATTATGTAAATATGTTTTTAATTTTAAAATAAGCAAAAAAAAAAATTTAAAAATTTATAAAAAATATCTTTTTAATTAATAAAAATAGGTTTATAAAAATTAAATGAATTAAATATAAATTAACATTGCTAATTTTAAAAAGCACTAAAATTTCTAGGTGTATCTTTCAAAATTAAGTCAAAAATCTGTTAAATTATTTTTTTGAAACTATTTATTTTATTTTTATTTTTTATATTTATTGACATTAACTATTGAAATAATTTCAAATTTATGTTTTTTTAATTAAAAATATTTTTTTTCTTTATAATAATATTTTTTGAGTATACAAAGTGCTTTTTTAAAATATAAAAAGATTAAATTATATACCATCTTTTATAAAAATTTCATTTTTATTAAATGAACAGTGCGTGCAATTTACTATTTTATTTCTTTGATTAATTATAAATATTAAATCTATAAAAAGTAAATATTTAAAATAAATGTTTTTATTAAATTAATTATAAAAAAATCACTATAAAATATTTTTAAAATTATAAATATTATATTTAATGGGTTTTAATTTCTACTTTTTTACTATAAATCATTATATTCATCTTATATAGATTTTAATATTTTAAATTATTTTCATTTATATGAGAATATTTTGAGGGAATTAATTTTAAAATAAAAATTTATTTTAAAATATAACTTTTTTTAAAAAATTATTTTTATTTTTATACAATAAAAATTAAATCTTATTTTTATTTAAAATATTTTAATTAAAAAAATTAAAAAACATATGAATCAAAATGTTATTATAGTTGATATATAAGCAAGAATTTTCGCTTTTAATACTGTGTATCAATTTATAAATATTAAAATTATTTATAGTCTAATAAAATTTTATTATATTAACATTTTAAACAAAAATTATGAATTTAATTTTTCTTTCTAAAAATATATTATTTAAATTTATTTAAAATTAAATAATAATATTAAATCAATTGATTAATTTTATTTTAATTAAATTATTAAATACATTAAAATATATGAAATTATTTTTTATATTTGATATTAACTTTTTATTTTTATAATATTAATTTTGTTATAAATATAATATTTAGCTTAGTAATTATAATATATTTTTTATTTATATAAAAATATTAAAAAGTAAATAATAATTATTTTAATAATACGTTTTAATATTTATTTAGCATTAAAAAAAATAAAAATCTTTTTTCTTTTAGATGAAAAAAAATATATACTCAATAATTATCTTACTACTAATAATGTTATAGTTCACCTTATAAGAAACAAAATTAAAAAAGAAAGAAAAAATCGATAAAAGTACGTTCGATTATCTCCCATTAAATTTTTTTTTTATGCTTTCTACTGTTATGAGTATAATATATCTTTTAAAATTAAAAGAAAATGATTTTAAAAAAATCGTAAAGCTTTAAAACAAAATAAATGTAACTTCATATTGTGATTAAGGGTTTGAAAACATAAGCTTAATACATTAAAAACTTAATAATAAATTTAAAAGTTTAGGCATAAATTATTATGAAAATGAGGAATATATAGTGGCAGAACATTTATGTTTAAATTCTTAAGTTACTTGCTAAAATTTTAATTAGGATTTATTAAAATACGCAAATAAATTTAACTTTTTAAACCCAAAATATATCGGAACGAAGTTATATTATAATTAGAATAAGCTTTATTTAAATATTTAAATATGTATTGAGAAATAATAAATAAGAAAAAATGAAAGTGTTAAAGAATAATAAGCATAAGAATTAATTAAAAATATGGCAGATGATAATCTGAAAATTATTAAAATGTATTTTAATTACGATTATTTTATTTATAATGGAAAAATTTGGTTAAATCCTTGCATTTTGTTAAAAAAAGATGAAAGTTTTTGCGATAAAAATATTTAAAATATAAATAAAGATATATGTGATTAATTAAGAAATGAAGGAATTATGCTTTGAAGATTTATTTTTTTTTATTAACAAATGAATATATTAATTTTTAGCATGGTTTATTTTTTTCTGTAATTTATTTTTTTAGAAAAACAAAATAAAACAAAATAAAAATCCAATATTGTATATTTTGTCAATTATGTTTTTAAATAAAAATAATTATAGAAAAAATAAAATTAAATCATGCTAAAAAGTATTATAAATATATATATATATATATATATATATATATTTATATATATATATATATATTCTTTCTTAATTATAAATTCAATATTAATATTTTAGATATTTTAACTTTTTTATTTTTTTTATTATTTTTAAGTTCGTTTTTAGTTTTAAAATTTTAATATAAAGGATAATTTATTAAAATAAAAAAAAATTATTTATACATATTTTTAAAAAAATAAAAAAAGTAAAAAAAAAAAAAATGCAAAACGAATCTGTAAGTTAAACTAGTTCTGAAAATTTAACAGAAAGCTTAGATTTTCATAAAAAAGAATATGAATAAAAAATCGAAAATATGAAAGCACTTTTAAGAAAAGCAAAAATAACAATAGATAAATAAAAAATGGAAATAGATTAAAAAGTTTATAAATAGTATATATAATTAATTATATATATTATTTTTAAAAAAATAGAATTTATAAATATAATAATTCGAATAAAAATGTACATAATATGAATAAGTAGTTTAATAATATTTAAATTAAGATAAAAAATAAAGTATAAATATTTTTTTTAAAATAAAAATATTATTTATAATTATTATTTAGTTGATATATAATAAATCCAAAAAATTTTATGTAGAATTAATATTGAATCAATAAATTGGATATGCTTCAAATTAAATCATTCAATTGTTATATTATTTTATTTTAATTAAAAATAAAATAATAAAAATACAAAAAAGGAATGGATTCGTGAAAATGAATTAAATGAATTATTTAATTCTTTATAAATAGATAATTCTTTGTTTTAATATCCAGAGACTATTGACTACAATATTATTTAAATTACAAAAGAAAATAATGAAAATTAAAAAAATAACATTAAAACGAACTATAAATGGTAATTTCTTAATATGAAAGTCGATTGAATAGAATAGTAAAAATATATTTATATTATATATATGCAATTTTAATTTTTTTAAAAAAGAGTTCAGAATATGAAAGTACATAAAAATAATTATAAGATGCTCTTATAAATATTTAATAAAATGAACAAAAGAAATAAGAATATGTGTAAAGTTTATCAAATTAAATAAATGAAATAATTGATTAAAGGTAAATAATATTATAATATTTTTTAAAATATATATATATATTATATATATATATATATACATATATATATATATATTATTTTTTTCTAGTTAAGAAATAAGAGAAAATTGCTTAGGATATATGAACGAGGATAATGAGGAGAATTTAAAAAAAGAAAGTTTAAACAAAATGAAGATTTTACTAATAAAAATGTAAAAAATTTAAAATTTAAATGATTCTTTAGAAAACAAAACATTAATTGACATAAAAGAACATATTTTATTATTACATTAAACATTATTTGAATCTTTGAAAAAATATTAGAATTATTAAAATGAATAGAAATAAAATGAAAGTATATTTTAAGATAAATATAATTAATTAATCAAATTATTTGAATGTGAAAAAATTGAAAAGGAAGAAATTTTAAGTCAAGGAAGGAAAATGTAATATTTGATTTGATTTTGTTTTTTTTATTTTAATTTATTCAAAAAATAAAAATAAAAAATAGGATTAAAGATTTAAATAAAACATAGAAATTTTAAAACTAGATTATTAAAAATAAACAAAAGAAAAAGAAATTAAAATTGAATTTTTATAATAAGAAATGAAAAAAACGTGAATATTTAATATATTAAAAATATTCTTTTAAAATTCTTTAATAGTGATTAATCAGTATATAAAAAAAATATTAAAATAAATAAAAATAAAAAAGGTAAAAGAAAGAACATTACCAGTAATATCAACTGTTTTATAATTTAGTTAATAAGAAACTTAATGCATATAAGACATTTATATAAATAATACAAATACTGTATCAAGCGCTATGGGAAGTTTAGGAAAAGTAAAAAATTTATATCTATTTAATATAAAAAAATATAATAATAGTTATTCTCATTGTAATGATTTGAAACAAAAAATTATTATTATAAATTAAAAAAAATATATTTATATATATTATTTATTTATTTATTTGTTAATTTTTACAAACATTTATAAAATGTAATAATTTTTTTTTTTATTTTATAAAAATATATATATATATATATATATATATATATATATATTTATTTATACTTTATATTTTTAATATTAATTCTTTTTTAATTCACTACAATTTGCGTATATTCCTGAAAATATAATATTTTATCTATAAAGACTCAAAAATTCATATTTTGA